TCGTTCTGAGCGATAAGATACGCATAGGTATAGTAAAAGAGTCACGTTTTCATTCAAAGACATTAAGGGCCATTAGCGATGAAGTCTTATCTTCCTTATAGCCCGTCGAGCGGCTCCGTCACCAAAGGGTTAAAGATAATCTTTAAGACGCCTTAAAAACATTTAAATGTAAATCGTCTGAAAGACACCTTAAAGATAATCTTTAAGGAGCCATAAGTTAGTTTCAATTCGACCAACCTTATAACTAAAACCAAAGTTTCCAGAAACGATTTCGGAACGCACTCTATGTTACTATAGATTTATATTAGTCCCGATCTACAATAGGTGTAGTAAGCTATAAGCTTTAAACTATAAGAAATTGACTAATCACAGTCAACTTATAGAAGAATAATCAATTATGATTGCCAATTTCTTACAATTTAGGCCTGGAACACAATACGTCGTGTGTCGCTGTCAGATGTAGGAACGCAACCGATGATCCAACGAGAAAATTTACTTTCCGAAAACAAGTCCTCCTCATTGGACCATTGGTTGCGTTCCTACATCCGGCAGCGTTATACGACGTATTGTGTTCCAGGCCTTAAAGGTTACTACACCTATTGTAGATCGGGATTGATAATTTCCGGGTCGGGGTCCGTTGCAAGCGGAGTGTCTGTTGTACACGCACCGGCGTTAATGCCGTCCGAATATCCGTGTGACTCGCACACGATAACGCATCACTCATACACTGCTGCGTGTAGGTGAGCCAGGAGCAGCACGGAGTGGCGGAGGGAGCTAGCGGTATACGATCGTCGGACGCTTGGAGAGGGAATAGTGGTGGGAGTCGCGGCGATCTTCCATCCTCTATCGCAAACGTAAGAACGAGAGAAATAGCATTATAAGACGTCTGGACAGAAATGCCGTCCTAAAATACGTGTGACACACACTAAGAAAACGCTTGACTCACACTGTCTCGTCTATACGTGAGCAATACGCGGTGTCCCGACGACTGTTTCGCTCGCTCGAACGTTCATGCATTTTTCATTGTTAGCAAGGAAATTACTGTAATGTAAAAATCTTGGGGAAAGGTTTTTAGGAGGCTTTGACAAATGCTTCTTAATAGCTACTCTTGAAAAAAAAATAAATATTAGATTTATTTTAATATAGAATTCTGAACCAACATAGAATATGTTGCAACAATATAACGTTTGTGTAGGTTGTCGATCGAAGAAGAGTATTTTTAATTTTATTGTTGCATAAACACGCGAGATATAATTATTTCATATTTTATGCGTTCGAGTATCGTTCCATCGTTATAAAATTTGGTGACTCTAAAAAGGGCCGATTTTTGCGCCTGTTTCAAATAATTATTGTTCCTTATTACTATGGATACAAAAATGCGACCCGTTTCTACTATTGACTATCGACCTCAACTGCTTCGACACAAAAATCGGCCCTTCTCAGGGCCACCAAATTTTATAACGATGGAACGATACTCGAACGCATAAAATATGAAATAATTATATCTCGCGTGTTTATGCAACAATAAAATTAAAAATACTCTTCTTCGATCGACAACCTACACAAACGTTATATTGTTGCAACATATTCTATGTTGGTTCAGAATTCTATATTAAAATAAATCTAATATTTATTTTTTTTTCAAGAGTAGCTATTAAGAAGCATTTGTCAAAGCCTCCTAAAAACCTTTCCCCAAGATTTTTACATTACAGTAATTTCCTTGCTAACAATGAAAAATGCATGAACGTTCGAGCGAGCGAAACAGTCGTCGGGACACCGCGTATTGCTCACGTATAGACGAGACAATGTGAGTCAAGCGTTTTCTTAGTGTGTGTCACACGTATTTTAGGACGGCATTTCTGTCCAGACGTCTTATAATGCTATTTCTCTCGTTCTTACGTTTGCGATAGAGGATGGAAGATCGCCGCGACTCCCACCACTATTCCCTCTCCATGCGTCCGACGATCGTATACCGCTAGCTCCCTCCGCCACTCCGTGCTGCTCCTGGCTCACTTACACGCAGCAGTGTATGAGTGACGCGTTATCGTGTGCGAGTCACACGGATATTCGGACGGCATTAACGCCGGTGCGTGTACATGATTGTACATAAAAATTAGTTTAAACTAATATAAATATCACGTTTGCAATGGATCAAATACTTCCTGATAACAGTAAGCAATATTTCTATTACATAAAATTGTATATAACCTCTGAACCTCTGTTATTCATAAAACGTTTAAACATTCAAAGATTACTAATAAATTCTCAACAAATAATCTTCCAGATATTGAAGAAAATGATATTTCTCAGATTTTAAAGGATCAGAATTTTTCTGGCAAACAAAGTTTTGCGTGGAAACACTATATAAAATATAATAATATATCAGCAAAATGCCACTTGTGAAAAAATTATAAAACATAGTGGAAATACCACAAATCTCATGCAGCATCTTTCAAGGAAGCATGAAATATTAATATCGCCAACAAATAAAAGAAAATCTGATTCTAAATTTTGTGAAGAAAGTTTTGAATCTATTGATAAAAGTCAGAGTTCTAAAAAAAGGAAACTCCACTCGGTATGATTTTTAAAATATGAAGTACATAATATAAATTTTATATTAATATTATATAAAATTAATATTATATTAATATGTTCGAAAAACAATAATTATAGGACAGTGAATTACGAATTGATGATGCTTTTAGCAGGATGAAATCATTCAAAGGTTAGTGAAAAAGTAAATATGTACATATGTATATATATATATATATATATATATATATATATATATTAATTAAAAAAATAACATTTCCAGAGGGTGGACAGATTGCAGATAGAATAACGTTGTCAATTATGTATATGATTGCCGTCGACAAGCTCCCACTCTCCACTGTAGAAGCGAAGGGATTCAAGATGCTTATGAAAGCTACAGCTCCTTTATACAACATTCCAAGTAGGAAGACCATTACTAACATGATAGAAGCAAAGTACGAAATAATAAAAGAACAATTTAGAGAGAAAATTAAGGAAATATTATCATACACTTTGACATGTGACAACTGGACTGATGTTACCAATCAGAGTTATCTTGGTGTAACTATTCATTATCTGGGAGCTGATTATAAGATGAAAAATGAATGTTTAGGAGTTTTACCACTGGATAACAATCATACCAGTGATTACTTACATGACTCTTTACTAAATATTATGAAGGATTTCCACGTAAATTCAAATAAGGTCATGGCCGTGGTTAGCGATAGTGCAGTTAATATTAAAAGCGCAGTTACCAAATTAGTCGGAAGTGGTAAACAATTAGCTTGTTTCGTGCACATTCTATCCCATTTAGTACCGAACGCACTACAGTCCATCCAACCTGCTATGGAAATTATAACTAAAGTAAAAAATATTGTGAGACTCACCAAACACAGTACTGTCGCATCCGATAAGCTGAAAAGATTACAAAAACGTGATGGGAAAACTGACGGAACAGTCTTAAAGTTTATCCAAGATATTGAAACGAGATGGAACACAACTTATTACATGTTGGAACGTTTTTTGGCATTACAGGAATATGTTTATCCTGTAATATCGAAATGTACCAATATATGCCAGATATGTTCTCAAGAACTGAAATTTCGGTTTTAAAAGATTTGGTAGCATTAATGAGTCCTGTTGCAAGTGTAATTACCGAGATAAGGGGGGAAAACTATCCCACTGCTAGTGTCATTATTCCATTAATTTACTGCATGACAGCAGCTATTACTGATTGCATGGTTATAACAGAAATTGGCAATGACTTTCAAGCAAAGTTGCTTAATCAGATCAACACTAAATTTCAACATCTGGAATCGAATCGAATTTTGGCAATCTCAACAATTTTAGATCCCCGCTTTAAAAGACTGCATTTCAAAATTGCTTTAGCAGTTTCCAAAGCAATTCAAGATATTGATAGTCAGCTGAAGAAAATATGTACGCTAATATCTGGTCACGAAGAAAGAAGGAAAAACGAAAACGACCAAAATGTTACTAATGCGAAGAGTTCAACATCAAATGTGTGGCATTTTCACGATAATCTTGTGATAAAAAATAGAGAGATGACTGATGCAACTTCTGAAAATTTAAATTTGCAGTTAAAACAATATTTGTACCAGCCGGTAATCTATCGTTCAGAGAATGTTTTTACTTATTGGGAATCACTGAAACATGCATTTCCAACATTGTCCAAATTCGCATTACAATATTTGAGTATTATTTCAACATCAGTGCCATGCGAACGTTTATTTTCACATGCTGGAAATGTGAAAACTGACAATCGCAGTCGTCTTACTGGTGAGCATCTCAACATATTATTATTTTTGAGCAGTATGTCAAGTGAAGAATGGGGACTAAAATAAATATATTGTTTGTACTTTTGCTTGCTCTATTTGTTCTTCCTCGTCTTTCTTACCTAATATTAATTGTTCTATCCTCCTATAATTTTCATTTTAAATATATTACGCATTAATTAAAATGTTTGTATTGTATGTATTTTATTTACTTTCCATTGAACAACTTTCTCTTACTCCCTTAAAAAACATCCTTATATTTCCTTTCTCACTCATGGAGCACTAACTCAATTTATTATGCAATGCTTGGATTTATGGTTTATTGTGAAAGCATGATATTCATACGTTATAATTAACAATAATATTAATTTCTGAAAATTATTTATAGTGACAACAACACCTGAAAACTGAAAAGTGCTCTGCAACATTTCAGAACCTGCCTCTATTGTGTGATGGAAAAAGTTTTTAGACAAAAGAATAAATAAAATATTAATAACATTTAGTAAAAAATTTCCGTTATTTCTTTAGAAAATCCATCAAATTTTGAAATATTCCTGGGGCTCGATTCTTGAACCATTCGTAACTATTCATAGACATTGTTAGTAATATCCAATAAATGTACAGCTTTTCCGTAAAAACAATACGCTCATTGAATATCACTCGCATGTTACATATATGAATAGTTAGAAATGATTCAAGAATCAAGCTTCTATAATTAAGAGTCCACAGGAGCCAAACATCGATTGTAGAAAGGTACATTACACTACACTTTTCATGGTATGTTTACTCAACACTTTATTAGCTCGGAGAAATGATATTTGCTCATCAAACAATTTTTAAAGCCTTCTTTATAAATGTCCAGAGAGGAGGGGATGCGTGGGAGGGGTACAGAGATGGATTTTGTAATTAAAGCTGTAAAAACTTATAATAAATAAATATGCGAATTCAAATTGCACTTCAAGTCGTACATCTGCTGTACTTAGAGTGCAACACGATTCCGTATTTTTATTTTCATTTATTATAAATTTGTATGAGCCTGATCTCAAAATTCGGCTCTGTACTCCCCTCTAGACATTTGCAAAGATGGCTCCAAAAATTGTTTAGTGCACAAATATTATTTCTTCGAGCTAATAAAGTGTTGAGTGTACATACTACGAAAAGTATAGGTTAGTGGGGGAGTATCCCGATTGACCACGTTACAATTGGACACCACCATTCACAGCGAGTCGTGCCTAGCGGATTTTCTAGTGTCGTCCAATCAGTGTAATCTGTGTCCAATCGTCCCGTGGTCAATCGGGTCCCACCCTCCATTGCGCACTTATCTTGTATGATTAAATCTGCGCCATAAAACTTACGTATACGCAACTATTTCAAGAATGTGGTCCCTGTAGACTTTTAAAAGGGTGGGTACTTTAAAAAGGTGGGGTAACGAGGTCAATCGGGACACTCTCCTTTAAAAAGCGTTTCTTAAAGTAAGCGCGATTCATCGATGTTTTTTGTAAATAATTGATTAATCAACATCGATACATTCAAACATCGATTAATCTAATATCGATTTTTTTTCACACATCGCCCATCCCTAGTGTATATGCTGGGGAGCGGTGCACTTGGACACGGTGCATTTGGACACAGCCAATCACAGCACCGTGTGATTAGAGACATTTATAGGGTCCCTTGGAACAGCGACTTGTGATTGGACTGTGTCCAATTGCCCCGTGTCCAACTGATATACACCCTATATGCTGCGTCCCTGGTAGCGACTAAGTCCTGTGCGGACGTGAAGGCGAGCTTGGCTCGCGTGTATATGCTGTGCCCCTGGCAGCAGAGGTTCAAGAGGAATCTACGACAACTCGCGCGGAGTCGTGAGCCCGACAGTACAGCATGCTGTCGACCTGATACACGCTGTTTGCGATACTGGAGATGTCGCGAAGAGAGACGTCCACCGCGGAGGTGTCAAGGTAATCCGAAGGGTCGCACGAGGCCTTCTCTCAATCCTTGATCGTATTGAGAAGGTGGAGATCCGTGGAGTTACCATACACTTCGTAATGCAAATACCAACGTATCCTCGGACCCTCTGGAGGCGATAGCCCAACGTGCAAGCGCACTCTAAAGGGCTGCGGGACCTAAACCTGAATGCCAACGTGTCTATGACACTCTGCAGGCAGCGATGATAAATGCAGATATGCACACGGATATCTCTGGCGAGGCAAGTGCCCAACGTGCTTACGCACTCAACAAGGCGATATGAAGCTATAGAGTACAAAAGAATGTGACGATCCGGAAAGCGTCACGACATCCGGAAACAAGGAATAACAAAAACGCCGAACAACCGCGCGCGGAATAACCGCAATGTCAACAAACAGTCGAAACTGTTTTTTATAATTTTGTATAAAAGCCGACGGAAAATTGATATCGAGAGAGATTGATCGGGAAGCTCCTCTCAGGTGCACGACCGACCAGAACTCGCAAGTCCTAGAGATCCTAGACATTCCGTCGACCGAAGTGGATACGCGACGTCGACATCCTCTCCGATACCGCTCTACCGACCGAAGTGGATTCGCGACGTCGGTTTCCTATCCACACACCGCTCTGTCGACCGAAGTGGATTCGCGACGTCGACATCCTCTCCGATACCGCTCTACCGACCGAAGTGGATACGCGAAGTCGGTTTCCATACACCGCTCCTGTCGACCGAAGTGGATTCGCGACGTCGACATCTTTTCCTTGAGACCGCTCTACCGACCGAAGTGGATACGCGAAGTCGGTTTCCAATCTGTACCTCGCTCCGTCGACCGAAGTGGATACGCGACGTCGGCATCCTTTTTCCTCCTCACGCTACGCCGCTAACACCTACGATCGCGAACGCATACAGGGCGTAAGATAACGGCGACAACGAGCGCCTTTAAACCAGCAAGGAAAGACCAAAATAAATAAACAGATTAAAGCCGATGAGGCAACGAAATCCGAACGACGAACAATAGTGTATCCGGAAACAATTCCGACCGCGTCCCGCCGGCCGCTCGCGCGCCCAACGCTCGCAGCTGATCGCGAGACGACAACAACGGCTCCCGACGAGAGCAAAAACGCGACCACGCGCCATCGGCGTAACGTCGCCTGTAAATAATTGTAAATAGCCTCGAAAGTAGAATATAGTTTCACATTATTATCACCTATACCACTGGTTTTCATTTCACACACGAAACCCGGACCACACCGGCTAAGACTATCCCGCACGTAACGTAAGGCCGTTACAAGAATACCTCAGCGAGGCAGTGACCAGATGCGCTAACGCAGTCAAAAGGCTTAGAGCCGTCGCCCGCGACGTCTTATATAAGCGCCGCACCGAAATTTAACTGCGAGCGACGCACAGTGCGTAATTTTGGTAATGTAGGTGGAAAAAATTCAATTTTTCAACTTAGTCCGGAGTGTTAGTTTATTTTATATCTTGATAATAGAATATCCATTGTTTCTGGAAATGGAGTTGGTTTCCTTCAAATGCGCTGGAGATGGCAGTAGCGCGCGCCTGAACATGCACGGACACGCACCGCGCAAGCACTGCTCGAACTTTCGCGTCTCAGTATATCCAGTTCGCTAGATCTGTGTGAGCGCTCAGCCACATTCAAAGCTATATCTAACTTCAAATTGTAAATTATATAGTTTTTCCTTGTTATTAGTATATTTTGTTTTTCAAAAATAGTTTTTGTCGAGTCGGAGAAGTATTTTGAAAAGGTGAGTAATTTTCCTTTAACATAAACGCTATTTCTCAAGTTTATTTAAGATTTTAGTTTAGTATTTCACCTAATTCCGCTTTGCGACAATATAGATATTGAAGCTAGTACTTTTGGGTATTTAAATCATAAAAGAAGTTATGCGCAAATTTGCGCACAAAATAATTTTTTCAGTCTTTAGAGAATGACGTCTTCAATTTCTCGGGAGGTCCTTTTTAAGATATGGGTTGAAACTCCGAAGAATTCGAAGTTTGATGCCTTGATTGCTTACGTTTTGCAAGAAATGGGAGATGTAGCAAATTCTGAAGTTGTTTTAGCCTGCGTAAAAACTAAAATAAGGAATTTTTGTCAAAAAATTAATAGTAAATGGGAGAAGGTAGCAAGGCATCGACAGCGCTTTCTGGATAATTATTCATCTTGGCTTCATGAAAATATTACATTCTCAGAGGATGTATTTAAAGCTGTTTCAAATACGTTGAAATCAGATACTCCCACAGTTGGACCTGGCCGACCAACACAGCCTTTCAGTGCTTGTGGTCCTAAAGCCAAAAAACTAAAAATTCAACACCTCCTTCAGTCAACCAGCGAGGAGCTGAGTACAGCTACAGAAATTCAATTAAGAAAAGAAGGCAAAAGAGATTCTGCAGCAATTGTTAAAGAACTTTCTGCTGCATCTCCGAAGAGAGGTACAAATATTAAGAAGGCCTGCAGGTCCTTGCTTCAAAAGTCAACATTATTATCGCCGGAACAAGCGCTTGCATTAATGGTGGATATTAATCTATCTACTCGGCAGTACGTACGAATACGCGAGCAAGCCGAAAACCTAAACTGCAAATTGTATCCTCCCTATTACAAAGTTAAAGAGGTCAAGCAATTATGTTATCCTCAGGACATTATCATAACGGAAATATCAGCAGAAATATCCCTGCAGTCGCTTATTGATCACACAATTTCTCGCCTATGTCAAATTGAAGAGGTTAACGAGAGATTACGTTTATCTGAAAATTTTACTTTTCACATCATCATTAAATGGGGATGTGATGGATCAGAACAGAATCGGTACAAACAGAAATTTTCCGAAGAACATTTTACTGATGAAAGTCTATTTAGTATTTCTATGGTTCCTATACAAATTTACTATAGTACAGACACGTCTACAACCATTATATGGAAATGCCCTGTCCCATCGTCCATGAAGTATTGCCGCCCCATCAAATTTCTCTTTGCAAAAGAATCGGCAGATTTAATTACTACAGAGGTTAATAAAATAAAGCAGCAAATAGAAACACTTACTCCCACTAAAATAGCTCTTAATGATGTGAATATTATCATAACATCGAC